TAGGGAGCTCCACCGAAGGCCCCAGTGGGGGTGTTCGCATGCGGTTCCCCCACCCAGGGCAGCGTTTCGTGCCCCATAGGGAGCTCCACCGAAGGCCCCAGTGGGGGTGTTCGCATGCGGTTCCCCCACCCAGGGCAGCGTTTCGTAGCCCCATAGGGAGCTCCACCGAAGGCCCCAGTGGGGGTGTTCGCATGCGGTTCCCCCACCCAGGGCAGCGTTTCGTGGCCCCATAGGGAGCTCCACCGAAGGCCCCAGTGGGGGTGTTCGCATGCGGTTCCCCCACCCAGGGCAGCGTTTCGTGGCCCCATAGGGAGCTCCACCGAAGGCCCCAGTGGGGGTGTTCGCATGCGGTTCCCCCACCCAGGGCAGCGTTTCGTAGCCCCATAGGGAGCTCCACCGAAGGCCCCAGTGGGGGTGTTCGCATGCGGTTCCCCCACCCAGGGCAGCGTTTCGTGGCCCCATAGGGAGCTCCACCGAAGGCCCCAGTGGGGGTGTTCGCATGCGGTTCCCCCACCCAGGGCAGCGTTTCGTGGCCCCATAGGGAGCTCCACCGAAGGCCCCAGTGGGGGTGTTCGCATGCGGTTCCCCCACCCAGGGCAGCGTTCGTGGCCCCATAGGGAGCTCCACCGAAGGCCCCAGTGGGGGTGTTCGCATGCGGTTCCCCCACCCAGGGCAGCGTTTCGTGGCCCCATAGGGAGCTCCACCGAAGGCGCGTGGCCCCATAGGGAGCTCCACCGGAGGCCCCAGTGGCTGCCCTCGCATGCGGTTCCCCCACCCAGGGCAGCGCTTCGTGGCCCCATGGGGAGCTCCACCGAAAGCCCCCGTGGCGCAGTTCGCATGCGCTTCCCCCACCCAGGGCAGCGTTTCGTGGCACCATAGGGAGCTCCACCGAAGGCCCCAGTGGCGCAGTTCGCATGCGGTTCCCCCACCCAGGGCAGCGTTTCGTAGCCCCATAGGGAGCTCCACCGAAGGCCCGCCCCGGTGGCGCAGTCCGCATGCGGTTCCCCCATCCAAGGCAGCGCTTCGTGGCCCCATATGGAGCCCCACCGAAAGCGGCACCCACAACGCGTTACCAACAATTGCTTATGGTTGGGTCTTTCGCCAGGATAATTTTTTGTAAGTGCTCGTGTAGGGTAGCTCATGTGCCTCAATTTCCATGGATAATCAACCCCAGAGATAAAAAAGTTCAGGCGAGCGTGGGGACAGAGAGAAATATAAAAGAAGAATAATCCAGTAGAAGAATACTAAGAAAGAAGAATAAGAGGATAATAAGAAGAGGACGAAGAAAGGAAAAATCCAAAGTTCCAAATCTATCAATTTTAATGTACAAACGCTTTATGAAAATTGATTCCCAACCATCCTGTGGTGTTGGGTCCTCGTTTTGAAGAGACGGTGCCCCGCGTTCCTCTCCTTCCTCCTCTCCTCCCTCCTCCCCCTCCTTGCCTCTGCTCTCGGCACACCTCTCACGCGTTTCGTAGCGGGAGCTCCACCGAAGGCCCCAGTGGGGGTCGCATGCGGTTCCCCCACCCAGGGCAGCGTTTCGTGGCCCCATAGGGAGCTCCACCGAAGGCCCCAGTGGGGGTGTTCGCATGCGGTTCCCCCACCCAGGGCAGCGTTTCGTGGCCCCATAGGGAGCTCCACCGAAGGCCCCAGTGGGGGTGTTCGCATGCGGTTCCCCCACCCAGGGCAGCGTTTCGTAGCCCCATAGGGAGCTCCACCGAAGGCCCCAGTGGGGGTGTTCGCATGCGGTTCCCCCACCCAGGGCAGCGTTTCGTGGCCCCATAGGGAGCTCCACCGAAGGCCCCAGTGGGGGTGTTCGCATGCGGTTCCCCCACCCAGGGCAGCGTTTCGTAGCCCCATAGGGAGCTCCACCGAAGGCCCCAGTGGGGGTGTTCGCATGCGGTTCCCCCACCCAGGGCAGCGTTTCGTGGCCCCATAGGGAGCTCCACCGAAGGCCCCAGTGGGGGTGTTCGCATGCGGTTCCCCCACCCAGGGCAGCGTTTCGTAGCCCCATAGGGAGCTCCACCGAAGGCCCCAGTGGGGGTGTTCGCATGCGGTTCCCCCACCCAGGGCAGCGTTTCGTGGCCCCATAGGGAGCTCCACCGAAGGCCCCAGTGGGGGTGTTCGCATGCGGTTCCCCCACCCAGGGCAGCGTTTCGTGGCCCCATAGGGAGCTCCACCGAAGGCCCCAGTGGGGGTGTTCGCATGCGGTTCCCCCACCCAGGGCAGCGTTTCGTGGCCCCATAGGGAGCTCCACCGAAGGCCCCAGTGGGGGTGTTCGCATGCGGTTCCCCCACCCAGGGCAGCGTTTCGTGGCCCCATAGGGAGCTCCACCGAAGGCCCCAGTGGGGGTGTTCGCATGCGGTTCCCCCACCCAGGGCAGCGTTTCGTGGCCCCATAGGGAGCTCCACCGAAGGCCCCAGTGGGGGTGTTCGCATGCGGTTCCCCCACCCAGGGCAGCGTTTCGTGGCCCCATAGGGAGCTCCACCGAAGGCCCCAGTGGGGGTGTTCGCATGCGGTTCCCCCACCCAGGGCAGCGTTTCGTAGCCCCATAGGGAGCTCCACCGAAGGCCCCAGTGGGGGTGTTCGCATGCGGTTCCCCCACCCAGGGCAGCGTTTCGTGGCCCCATAGGGAGCTCCACCGAAGGCCCCAGTGGGGGTGTTCGCATGCGGTTCCCCCACCCAGGGCAGCGTTTCGGGCAGCGTTTCGTGGCCCCATAGGGAGCTCCACCGAAGGCCCCAGTGGGGGTGTTCGCATGCGGTTCCCCCACCCAGGGCAGCGTTTCGTGGCCCCATAGGGAGCTCCACCGAAGGCCCCAGTGGGGGTGTTCGCATGCGGTTCCCCCACCCAGGGCAGCGTTTCGTAGCCCCATAGGGAGCTCCACCGAAGGCCCCAGTGGGGGTGTTCGCATGCGGTTCCCCCACCCAGGGCAGCGTTTCGTGGCCCCATAGGGAGCTCCACCGAAGGCCCCAGTGGGGGTGTTCGCATGCGGTTCCCCCACCCAGGGCAGCGTTTCGTGGCCCCATAGGGAGCTCCACCGAAGGCCCCAGTGGGGGTGTTCGCATGCGGTTCCCCCACCCAGGGCAGCGTTTCGTGGCCCCATAGGGAGCTCCACCGAAGGCCCCAGTGGCTGCTCTCGCATGCGGTTCCCCCACCCAGGGCAGCGCTTCGTGGCCCCATGGGGAGCTCCACCGAAAGCCCCCGTGGCGCAGTTCGCATGCGCTTCCCCCACCCAGGGCAGCGTTTCGTGGCACCATAGGGAGCTCCACCGAAGGCCCCAGTGGCGCAGTTCGCATGCGGTTCCCCCACCCAGGGCAGCGTTTCGTAGCCCCATAGGGAGCTCCACCGAAGGCCCGCCCCGGTGGCGCAGTCCGCATGCGGTTCCCCCATCCAAGGCAGCGCTTCGTGGCCCCATATGGAGCCCCACCGAAAGCGGCACCCACAACGCGTTACCAACAATTGCTTATGGTTGGGTCTTTCGCCAGGATAATGTTTTATGTGCTCGTGTAGGGTAGCTCATGTGCTTCATTTTCCATGGATAATCAACCCCAGGGATAAGAAAGTTCAGGCGAGCGTGAGGACAGATAGAAATATAAGAGAAGAAGAGGAAAGTATAATAATAATAAGAAGAGAAGCAGAAGAGAAGAAGGAGAAGAGAAGAAGAACGGAAACATGGAAAGTTACAAATCTATCAATTTTAATTTACAAGCGCTTTATGAACATTGATTTTTTAAGTGCTCATGTAGGGTAGCTCATGTGCTCCCCTTTCCATGGATAATCAACCCCAGAGATAAAAAAGTTCAGGCGCGCGCGGGGATACATACATACATTGGTTTCGCTTGACACATCCTGAAAAAGTGTATCGCTTCGCTTGATGTTGCTATATCAACATCGCTTGATGTTGCTATCTCAACATAGCGTTTCGAGGTGATAATGAAGTTCGGCCTCAGCGCTCGCCGCCCAATTTGAATTTTGTATAGGGCGACGATAATCAACTCTAAACACTGAAGGGGGGGGGTCCCTTTATTATCATCGGCATGCGGTTATTTGTTGATTATGTTTTGAACATTTTGGAGTATTCTCTGAGTATTTTTACTTTTTCGTCGACAATCCCCCTGTAGGGAGACATGCCCGACTTGAACTAAGTCGGGTGTGTCCCTCTACAGGAGGAATATCGTGGGGGCGCGAATCAAAAAGCCATATGCTTTTCGTCAGGGTATCCTGGGTTTCGTCGCTCCTCACGCTGCGCGGTGACTTCCCGCAGCCGTTGAAGGAGCTGCTGCGTTCAGGGTGCTCCAGGTTTCCCCTCGGATGCACCTCGCGCGCGGGTTTCCAGGGTTGGGTTTCTTGCGAGGGGTTCTTGCGACCGCACCCGCATTGTATTCAAACATATAAATAAAAGATACCACGGGGACGATTTTTCTCATTATTTGTTGCTTCATTTGTTTTAAGATATGTTCGACTATTTTTCATGTTTCTTCCAAAATCCACCTGTAGGAGGACATGCCCGACCTAAGCCTAGACCCCCTCGGGTCATGAACAAAAACATGACGGTAGGTTTTTCGCTACTTGGGGCCTCTGGGGGGCCGTGCCGGGCCTCGAGACCGTAAACAACGATTCAGGACGAACAACCAGGCATGCGGAATGGGTCGGAACCGCTGGGGGTCGACATGAGAAAATCATGACGTCGGGTGTTTGGGAGTAGCGGTATCTGTACATGTTTGTTCTCCTAGTAGGATGTACATGTGCGTTTGCGTGGCATTTATGGACGAGAGCGCCATTGCGACCTTCGTATTGCGGCATGATTTGTGCCGGCCACGCTTTTTGCTATGCGAGCGTCGAGGATTCATTGCCATAGTTTGCCGATCTCGGCCTCGAGCATCCAGTGTTTCAGCTCTGCAGCTAAACAAGCAATGCGCGTCGTGCAGCGTGGCTTCAGACTTACGTGCTTGTTTGACAGTTGTTTGCTCGCTGTGCACATAAGTGCTGCCCTTGCCAGAACTAATTATTCCGAAGACGGAAAGAAAGTCAGAAGAGAAGCTCGGAAGAGGTTCCTCGCATTGCTGCGTTCCTGCAAATGTGTTTGATTGTTCTGTGAGTGGTTGACGGCGTGTGCACGTACGCAGCCTTTGCACATGCAATGCTGCGCGATTCGCCCAGGCGCTGTGACGGGGCACGCTCGCATAACGACGGGTCATGTGTGTCGCATCGGCAGTCTTCACGCGTTTCAGGCGAGTTTGAGTGTGAGCCGAAGCCGGTCGGCGCGTGAGATTCGGCCATTCGTTAAGCAGGCAGTCTTGCCAAGTTCTGGCAAACTCCATCAATGCGTGGGTATTCGCAGTACCATATATCTATGTATGCTTAGATATGTGGACCCAAACTTATGATAAGTACATGAAGAACATCGGTGGTTTTATGTTTTAGAATGCACACCTGCACTCACTAGGGGGGGCATCGGGCATCACTGATTCATCGAGCACGCTCATGCGTCCTTGCTGTTCTCTTTCCACCCGACAGGAAGCTGTCGACGGGACAACAAGACGCGCCTATGGCTCCAGCCGACGGGACATCAAGCATTGACGGGGCACGCTCAGAGATAATTGACCACCTTTGGCCACAGCGTGGACAACACCGCTGCCTTTCCAAAAATCCATCGAGGGTTCAAGCAGTATGAAGGCGGCACACGCTCAAAGTACGTTGACCGTTGTGCGTGGGAGTGTTTGCAAAGCTGCGAGTCCCAGTGAGAGACGGGCACAGCCGACCGCTCGGCAGCAGAAGACCAGGCTCGTGCAGGAAAATGAGGCGCAAGGATAAAACGAGAGACGGACACCAAGCACTCAGGGTTGCCCAATTTCCGAGTCGACCCGATCCGATCCCCCTTGTTTGACAACGATCCAGATCCGATCCAGCACGAAGCGAGTCCCTCTCCGGTCTGCAGGGGCTGAGGCCGATCAGGCAGCTCTTCCGATCCGATTCCGCAGCGATGCGGGCGTGATCTGATGGCCCGGGAAAGGGAGGGGGGTGGGGCAGAGGACGGCGAGCGGGCCAGACGGCAGGCCGAAGTAGGCGCCGTGGCAGGCGACTTGGGGATCGTGCAGGCGGGCAGGGACGAGCACGGGCCAGGCGCGCAGAATGCGCACCACGGGGCCGCGAGCAGCGAGAACTCGTCGGCGACGCCAGCCCGCTCTCGGGGCCAGCAGCGAGGGCGGACGCCACCGCGTCCGAGTGGCGGGCGGGCTGCGCCAGAATCCGGGGGCGCACAGCCACGAGCACAGCGGAGACCCATGCCAAGGGACACCCTGCTCGCCCCCAGGGTGCCCTGGGTTTCTTGGGTTTCGATCTGGTTCTGCAGTGGAACGCGCGTCGCTCCCACACCAAACATTCATGGACGTCCTGGGGTCTCAGGGTTGGGTTTCTTGTGGAAGGTTTCTTGTGGACTGGCCTCGACTGTAGGGTTGTGGAAGTCGATTAATGGAGAGGAAGCGTGCTCCTAGTACTTCCCAGATGTCTAAAAGATGTTTCGAATCTGTTTTAAGTATGTTAAGCACATTCTTGAAACATGGTTAGAACATGTTTTACACATTTCAAGCACGTCTTTGATTCAATGATAGGATTGTTAGAGTGTCCATTGGCATGGCATCCACAACTGTAGGGGAAGAGGGGGGCGGCCGCGGCGGAGGAACGCGGCGGGAGTCCTCCGGCGGGGGGAGGCATCTTCGCCACGAAGAAGCGCAGGCGGCCTGCACACACGCACACAGCACAGGTGAGCGAGACGCAGGCAAGAGGAGAGGCGAGCGGAAGAGACGAGCAGGTGGTTCGGCAGCTCTATCGTGAAGGCGGGCGTGTCCCTCTACAGGAGGAGTATTGGAAAAAACAGTCAACAAATAGCTTGGGGACGATTTGTTTACTGTGTTTGGTTATTTCTGCGCATTTGTGTTGCTATTATTTCGCATTTTCCTCCGAAATCCGCATGTCGGAGGACATGCCCGACCTAATCCTATCGACACCGCGCTTGGGCGTCCGACTTCAGAAGCAGACGCGCCCTGATGGCGCGTCGAGAATACGTGAGCACATGTGTGGTACCATGCAAGGGCAGAGACCAAGAAAACGCCGAGCTTGAGCAGCGCCTTGGGTTCACATGCGCTCGGATCTTTACCCCCGTGCTATGCCAGGGTTAGGCGATGGTGGAGGTTCCCGCGTGCAGCATGCATGCCACCACAGCCTCAGATTGAGCATCACGATCGGCGTTTTCAGCTTATCTCCACATATGGACGAACTCCGCGGCATAATTCTACGGGCTGTTGCGGCGTCATATCTGTGCGAGGTTCAACCGAGGCGGTCGCCTGTGATATTCCGGCGTGGTCATGACCAGGTGGGCGAAGGACTGCTGTCCATGATCCGAGAAAGCCGTGGGCGCCAATAGGACGAGATCGCCAGCAGTGCGCGAGTTAAGCTGGCGCGAGGGTTCATCACGCCCCAAACTAGTTCTGGAGCGGTACCCCCACGTTCCTCGTGCATGGGCTCCCCCTCTAGGAGCGTCTTTCGTTTGGGGGGCCTTGAGCCTTCGGCCGAGGGGCTCGTGTCATTGAGCCCACGTTCTTGTGGCCATGTTTCGATTCTAGACCGACTGGGAGGGGAGCCCGCGCAGCGGGCGGGATCGCTGCACTCCTGCCCGAAGGTGTGCGGGCGGCGCTGTCGTCGCGCCCCTGTGGCAGGCCGCCGAAGCCATATCCCGAAGCGCCGCTTCCCCCAGGCTGAGCTCTGGAGGCGGGCGGGCCGCCGGAGCCGTGGCTTCGAGGCACGGCCGCGGCCTCGACCCCGCGGGCGCGGCGACCCGGAGCGTGGCCGAGCTGCAGCTGGGGGCCGCTGTCGAGTGCTGGACCCGGGGTGGCCACCGCGCCTGGACCTGGAGGCTGAGGCGCCCGGCAGACCGCGCCTGTTGCCCGACGCGCGCGCGGTGCTCCTTCGGGCCGGGGCAGCTCGCGATGGGCCCGCAGGGGGGCCCGGCGGCGTGCGGCTTTCGGCACCTGCACGCCGGGGTAGACAGGTGGGCTACAAGGCGGCTCCGCGAGAGCGGGGAGCTGGCGGCCGACGCTGCGGGGGCCCTTCGCGCCAGGCTTGCCGGAAACGCCGTCGCGGAGAGGCGGTCGCGGCAAAGTGGGGGCGCCCTGCGGGCTTGCCCGCACTGCGGCGCGGCGTGCGACAATTTCGGGCAGCCGCCGCGCGCCGCTGCGCTGATGCCCGAGGGCCTCGCGCGGGCCGCGGCCCGCGCGCGACTGCCAGCCCAGACGGCGCTCACGGCGGCGTTGCCCCGGCACCCGCAGCTGGCTGCACTGGCGGACCAGGCGCTCTTGAACCGTTGCCGCACCTGGCCCTGCCGGCCCCTGCCGCGGGCCCGCCCCGGGCGCGCGCTCGGACGGATGGCGGCTGCCTGCGGCCCGCCAGGGGGCGGGGTCTGATGCCGATCTGGGACATCCGCGCGGACCTCGGGAAGTTCACCACTGACAGCCGCCGTGCTGGCATAGGGAACGCCGGATGAAGAACGACGGGGCTCTTCTGGCCACGGCGCGCCTCTGTCACGAATAGTCTTTCCCCGACATTGATCGAGACGGTGTGTTCCTTGCGTGCCTTGTGGCTATGTGTTATGCCGTAGTTTCTTCCTCGAGTGAGGCGGATTCCTTCCCCCCCGCCCCCGTGCTCTCTTCTGGCCCCAGCTACGTTCATGTAGCTGGGGCCCCGAACGTCAACGTAGCCACGTCAACGTTAGCGGCAAAGCCATCATTCTCAGAAGCCTCGAGCGTACGTTCGAGGTTTCTGAGAACTATGGCTTCGCGGGGACAGCGGTGTCTTTTTACCAGGCCCGCCTCTTCCAGGGTGCCTCGCTGGAAAAAAAGAAGCACAGCTTCGCAAGCTCGCGGGCGCCAGGTGGGCAAGGCGAGTCAGACGCCGGTCAGGTCAGCAGGCCGTGGGATGCAGCGGGAGCGAATCCGAGTCACGAAAGCACAAGGGACAGGGCGCGAGGGATGAGCAGGAAGAAGCCCGCTCAGACCATGAAGGCCGGCGCGGGAGCGCCGTGGAAGAACTTGCAAGCAAGGTAGATAATCCATGCCCCGCTAAGAGATGCACTTTAGACTGTGTGTCTGTGTGTGTGTCTGTGTGTGTGTTTGCGTGTGTGCGTGTGTGGCTGTGTGTGTCTGTTTGTCTGTGTGTTTGTCTGTGTGTTCGTGTGTGTGTGTGTGTGTGTGTGTGTGCGTGCGTGCGTGCGTGCGTGCGTGCGTGCGTGCGCGTGTGCGTGTGCGTGTGCGTGTGCGTGTGCGTGTGCGTGTGCGTGTGCGTGTGCGTGTGCGTGTGCGTGTGCGTGTGCGTGTGCGTGTGCGTGTGCGTGTGCGTGTGCGTGTGCGTGTGCGTGTGCGTGTGCGTGTGCGTGTGCGTGTGCGTGTGCGTGTGCGTGTGCGTGTGCGTGTGCGTGTGCGTGTGCGTGTGCGTGTGCGTGTGCGTGTGCGTGTGCGTGTGCGTGGCGTGTGCGTGTGCGTGTGTGTGTGTGTGTGTGTGTGTGTGTGTGTGTGTGTGTGTGTGTGTGTGTGTGTGTGTGTGTGTGTGTGTGTGTGTGTGTGTGTGTGTGTGTGTGTGTGTGTGTGTGTGTGTGTGTGTGTGTGTGTGTGTGTGTGTGTGTGTGTGTGTGTGTGTGTGTGTGTGTGTGTGTGTGCTTTCTTTTCGGCCTTGTGCAAGGGGGGGCGGTCTGAGTGGGGGTGTGGGGCGGTGGCAGTGTGTTCTTGCTATGCCACTTCCGCGCGGCTGCCCGCGCACTTTGGTGTCAGGAGCCAGCAAGTTCTGTACGCCCCATGTGGTGGTTGTGAGTCGTTGGTTCCCTTTCCCATTCTGCACTGACTAGTTTGTCGAGGGGGTCGTCCAGCACGGGCCAAGGATGGCGGGAGTAGTTGGTCGGAGGTTTGACAGAGCATTCTTGGTTCGGTACGTTCGACACGGCCAGAAAGACTGCTGGTGTCACTCCTGGGCGTTGCCCGATGCGAGACGAGCATTCGCCTGCCCACCAGTGCGGCCGCTGTTGACTTCGGACAACGTTTGCTGTTGGACACCGTACCCTTTCTTTGCGTTCCGATTCGGGGCGTCCCGATGTGTAGATCAGCAGCTCCTTCGGCAGGAGCAGTCGTGCCCGTGCGTGCTGCTCCGTTTGGTGACTTTGGTGGCGACCTGCGGGGACGGCAATCGACCACAGCCACATCGAGGACACTCTGGGGGGTGTCATGCGCACTCCAAGAATAGGGGGCCAGATGCCTAACCTTACCCCTACCCCCCACGATTTCTGAGGGGGAGGGTGGGGTTAGGGTTCGCATCAGGCCCCCTGTAGAATTGTCGGGACACCGAAGCCAGCTTCGTATTTTGGTTGTAGTCGATGTGGCGTTCCCAGGACGGCCGCATCGACCACAGCTACAGCCAGCGTGCTCACGTCGAGGTCGGCGGGCTCTCCCCCGAAGGGGCCCCTTCCGAAAAAGCCACTCGTTTGTGGTTGTGGTGCTCTGCTGTGCTCGGACGGGAGGCTTGCTAGCGAGTGCCTCCTCGTCGTCGACAGGGAGAGCGGGGAGGGCTCAGGGCTCCTCCCCCGGAGGGGCCCCTTCCGAAAAATCCACTTGGTTGTGGTTATGGTGCTCTGTTGTGCCCGGACGAGAGGCTTCCTAGCGAGTGCACCCTCGTCGTCGACAGGGAGAGCGGGGAGGGCTCAGGGATTGGCGCGGCTCCTGAAAAGGCGTCCCTGCCCCGCGTTGCACATCGTTCACTTTTTTTGCGCACCGATTCCGGGCGTTCCGATTTATGTCAGCAATTCTTCCAGCTGGCACGTGGACGAGGCTCCCTTTGGTGGCGACAGGCTTCCCAACGAGTTCACCATCGTCGTCGACAGGAGGAACGGGGAGGGCTTGGGGCTCGACGCGACTCCCGAGAAGGCGACCCTGCCCCGGCGGCCCCGGCGCGCAGCAGGCGCGGCTCTTGCACACCCTTCTTCAAAGAAGACAGACTGGTACACAGTCCATGAAGGCAGTGCTCATACCTCGCAGGCGATGTCTTCCCCCTAATCCCCGAGCTCCGCCCGAAAGTTTTGGCCGCTGAAACTCTGGGATAAACCCCCATGGGGCTATTCGGACGCACACCGATTGAGGATGGACGCCCCCCCTCATCTTCTACCTCATAGTTGGGTCCATAAACCTCTGGTTCCCTCGAAAACCCCACGAAGCCTGGGATATTTGTCGACATATCCCCTGCTCATATCCATGAAGGGACGCGCCAAAAGGCCGAAGCGCAGTGGCCAGAAGGCCGAGTCTAGCCTCTAGGGGCCAGAGTTTTATCCGTATCTGCTATGACTTTGGTTTCTGGGGAAGCGAGCGTTGCTCAACGACGCAGTGGATACGGATGTAGATCTTGCCCGCAGTCAAGCCACTGAAATACGGGCCGCGCTGAGCTCGAAAGGGCCCCTTAGTTTCGGGCCGTTGTTTCGACCCCTTCTTCATTCGGCGTTCCCTATGGTAGCGCGATGGCTGGAGGTGTAAACTTTCAGAGGTCCGCGCGGATTTCTTGGATCCGCGCTGGACACCACCCCTTCTCCCTGGCGCGCGGAGCGCGCCAGGGGCGGCGCCGGAGGCGCTGCCAGGGAGGTCCAACCCGAATCCAGAAAAAACGCGCGGAGCTCTGGCATTGTGTGAGCATGCAGGTGTTTCTTCTTCGAGTCCAGGCGGTGGTGACACTCCTGCCTCCGAATGTTTTGTTCCTCAGCGCATGTGGAGGGAGTCCAGCGACGATCCGAGAGAAAACTGCGAGGGCCACCGTCAGTTCAAGCTTCTGCAGATCTGTCTTCTTCGGCTTACCCCCTGCGTTCCCCGCCGCTCTTGTGCCTGAGGTCGATCGATACCCCACTTTCAGAGTGCTGGTAGTATCCATCTAGCCAGCTAGGGCAATGCTTCGTCGGGCTGTCGCGATTTGTCACAGCATCCAGCCGTAATGTTCCCTCCCGCGTTGTTTGTTTGCCTCCTGCCTCACGGTCTGGTTCCTTCACCTCTTTCGGACCGCACAACTGGAGGTGCCACCATGCACCCCAAACGATTGGTTCACGAATGTGACAAACAACTAAAGCAATATTCCCCACGTGATCGTTTTCTTATTCGTCGTTTTACCGATCGGCGCAGGCCCTCGCCCCCCCTCCTCCCCCCCATCAAGTAGATGTTGGCTGTTTTTGGCGCCTGTTTCGAGCAGGCGGGGTCTCCCCCCATAGGACGCACTGTTGCAAACAGTGGCTCTCAGCAGAGGTCAGGAGCCATACCCCCCCCCTCTCTCCCCCCTTTCGGCCCAATGTCGAAACACCGAATAAGAAAACTTTCAGCAAGTGGATTGGCGAATTGCCCCTCTTCGGATCTCGACAGGGTGCTGCGGCCGCAGTCTGCTGGCGGGCCTCCGCCAGCGGGGTCTGGTTCTTAGTCGCGTGTCTCTACGGGGCCTCTCGCCAGAGGGGGCTCTGCAGGCAGCTTGGGCGTCTTGGAGCGACCTTTCGTCGTCGATTGCGTGTCCTCCTGGATCGTCTGGGCGGCCTCGCAGGAGCGAGGGGGCCGTCCTGGAGACCCACGCGACACAGCCCAGGAGCGCCTGCGACCACCTTGGAAACTGGGGATCTGGGCCCCTACAAGCCTCGTCAAAAATACATTGAAACGCTGTTCAAGATTGAGGCGCTCGATAGTTCGGGCACTTGTCAGAAAACGTGAGGGTACTGCCGGATTTCGGACACCCCTGCGTCTCGGCCGAATACCTCATGCCAGCATTTAAGTAGCGCCCACCGCGCAAGCACCGAAAACAAAAATTGACAAATTGTTTGTCGAGTTTTGTAGGAACCGTACAATCACGTTACCTCTCAGGGCTGCATGAGCTTCGGGGCACTCCACTTCGTGCCAGAGGCACGGTGGCGGATGTTGCTTGTTTTTGTTAGGACCCCTATCATATGGATGATTTGGATGTTGTCTGTTTTCGTTTGTGTTTGAACGGTTGTGGTGCTGTTATTTCCGATTGTTCCTCCCTGTCCACCTCCTTATCCTTCTTCCCCTCCTCCTCGCCTTATCCTTCTCCTCCTCCTCTTCATGCTCCGCCTCGTCCTCATCATGAGTCAGCTCACCTGTGGGGTTCACGCAAGCATGGCAGCGAACCAACACAAAACAAGCAACGGCAATCATCAACCAAGCAGCATCGCAGCAAACAAGCATCATTTCAAGTAAAACACGGCAGCGCCAAAACACAGGCTACCAACACACGGCTTCTACTTCCTACTACTACTACTACTACTACTACTACTACCACCACTACCACTACTACTACTACTACTACTACTACTACTACTACTACTACTACTACTACTACTACTACTACTACTGCTACTGCTGCTGCTGCTGCTGCTGCTGCTACTGCTATTCCTACTACTATTCCTACTGCTGCTACTACTACTACTACTACTACTACAAGTATTACTACTACTACCACTACCACTACCACTACCACTACTACTACTACTACTACTACTACTACTACTACTACGACTACGACTACGACTACGACTACGACTACTACAACTACAACTACTTCTTCTGCTATTTCTACTACTACTACTACTACTACTACTACTACTACGACTCCCCCTACTACTAGTATTACTACTACTACTACTACTACTACTACCACCACCACTACTACTACTACTACTATTACTACTACTACGACTACTACTACTAGTACCACTACTACTACTACTACTACTACTACTACTACTACTACTACTACTATTACTACTACTACTACTACTACTACTACTACTACTACTACTACTACTACTACTACTACTACTACGACTACGACTACTACTACTACTTCTACTACTACTACTACTACTACGACTACTACTACTACTACGACTACTACTAATACTACACTACTACTACTACTACGACTACTACTACTACCACTACTACTACTACTACGACTACTACTACTACTACTACTACTACTACTGTTACGACGACTGCTACGAGGACTATTACCACTGGAACTACGATTGCCGCTACTATTATGTGATGGTATGGTATGGTATATGTTGCTGTGGCATGTCGTGATGTGGTATGTCATGTTGTGTTATGATATGCTATGTGATGCCGACGCTGGTCATGATGATGATGATGCGCATGATGATGGTGGTGGTGGAAGTGGTGGTGATGGTGGTGATTGCGGTGGTGATGGTGATGGTGGTGGTGGTGATGATGATGATGATGGCGATGCTGATGATGATGATGATGAGTATGATGATGATGATGATGATGATGATGATGATGATGATGATGATGATGATGATCATGATCATGATCATGATCATGATCATGATCATGATGATGATCATGATGGTGATCGTGCTGCTGATGCTGATGATGATGCTGATTCTGACGCTGACGCTGATGCTGATGCTGATGCTGATGCTGATGCTGATCATGAGGAGGAGGAGGAGGAGGAGGAGGAGGAGGAGGAGGAGGAGGAGGAGGAGGATGACGATGATGACCGCGGAGTGGATTCTGAGGATGTCTCGAGCGAGGTGCGCGTTTCAGCACCCCCAAGGGGGAGCCGCCAGGGGGTATTGCACTCCTCCGTTCGCGCCAAAATGGCGGGGACGCCTTGAGCGGTTTGCCTGTGTTGTGGCCCAACATCTTCTGGTGTCGGAGCAGGTTTTGCGGATGTCTCGAGCGAGGCGCTGATGTTCGCCCCCCGAGGCCACAGGATGCCCCAGGAGGTTCCAGAAGGCCCCAGGAAGCTCCAGGAGGCCCCGGGAGGCTCCACGATGCTCCAGGAGGCCACAGGAGGCTATACGAGGCCCCAGGAGGCCACAGGACGCGCCAGGAGGCACCAGGCACTCCTGAACGCACCAAGAGGCCCCAAGAGGCCCCAGGCGCAGGAGGCCTCAGACGGCCAGAGGAGTGGTTCCAATCCCATGTGTTTTACGTATGCTCCTATAGATCGGGCCTCCCCTGGAGCACGAATCTGTGGTGTTTGCGTATATTTCGGTATATGGTTCTTCTCCTGCGCATCCACTCCAAAATATTTTACGTATGTTCTTCTCGATGGGGCTTCTTGTGGGACACGAGTTTTTGGTGTTTTACGCGTGTTACTATAAATTGCCCGTATCCTGTGGCTCCGACGCGTTTTACGTCTGTTCCTATATATTGAGCCCCTCCTGGGGCACGAATCCTCGCCAGGAGGCCCCATGAGGCTCCAGGAGACCTCAGGAGGCAACAGGAAGCCCCAAGAAGCCCCAGGAAGCTCCAAGAGGCTCCAGGAGGCCCCAGGAAGCTCCAGGAGGTTCAGAGAGCCCCCAGGAGGCCCCAGGCTCATGCGCAGAGACGCGCTCGTACTACTGAGACTCGGGCACACACCAACTCAATCCGCGTGGGATTAGCTCTCAGACTGTCAATACTCAAGCCCGTTTAAATTCGAAACTCCTGCAACTAGACAGACGTGGCGGACAGGCCCATGCTAACAGATGCACATCGGGGGAGCCCCACGCAGTGAATACTTATGGTATTGTTGCTACGCCTACTATTACTATTCGTATTTCTAGTAGAAGAAGTAGTAGTAGAAGTAGTAGTAGTAGTAGTAGTCGTAGTCGTAGTCGTAGTCGTAGTCGTCGTAGTCGTAGTCGTAGTCGTAGTCGTAGTAGTAGTAGTAGTAGTAGTAGTAATACTACTACTACTACTATGGCTACGACTACTGCTGCTACTGCTGTTGTTGTTGCTGCTACGACTACTACTACGACTACCATTACCACTACTACACCTACGATTACTATTACTACTATTACTACTACTACTACTACTACTACTACTACTACCACTACTACTACTACTACTACTACTACTACTACTACTACTACTAC